CTGTCGCTGTCCCTGTTCTTTGTCCCTGTCCCTGTCCCCTGTCCCCTGTCCCTGTCCCTGTCCCTGTCCCTGTCCCTGTCCCTGTCCCGGTCCCTGTCCCTGTCCCTGTCCCTGTTCTTTGTCCCTGTCCCCTGTCCCCTGTCCCGGTCCCTGTCCCCTGTCCCTGTTCCTGTCGCTGTCCCTGTTCTTTGTCCCTGTCCCCTGTCCTCTGTGCCCTGTCCCCTGTCCCTGTTCTTTGTCCCTGTCCCCTGTCCCTGTCCCCTGTCCTGGTCCCTGTCCCCTGTCCCTGTCCCCTGTCCCCTGTCCCTGTCCGCGTCCCTGTCCCGGTCCCTGTCCCTGTTCCTGTCGCTGTCCCTGTTCTTTGTCCCTGTCCCCTGTTCCTGTCGCTGTCCCTGTTCTTTGTCCCTGTCCCCTGTCCCTGTCCCTGTCCCGGTCCCCGTCCTGGTCCCTGTCCCCTGTCCCTGTCCCGTTCCCTGTCCCTGTCCGTGTCCCGGTCCCTGTCCCGGTCCTTGTCCCGGTCCCCGTCCCGGTCCCTGTCCCTGTCCCCTGTCCCCTTGTCCCCTGTCCCTGTCCCGTTCCCGGTCCCTGTTCTTTGTCCCGGTCCATGTCCCTGTCCCTGTCCCTGTCCCTGTCCCTGTCCCTGTCCCTGTCCCTGTCTCTGTCCCGTTCCCGGTCCCTGTCCCCTGTCCCGGTCCCTGTCCCTGTCTCTGTTCCCTGTCCCTGTCCCTGTCTCTGTCCCGTTCCCGGTCCCTGTCCCCTGTCCCGTTCCCTGTCCCCTGTCCCGGTCCCTGTCCCTATCCCTGTCCCTGTCCCTGTCCCGGTCCCCTCCATGGGAGGACCGGGATGAACTTTAAGATCCTTTCCCAGCCCGTCTCTTCTCGGATCACACCACCCGCGGCGCCCGGCGCGGGCTCTGTCCTCTCCGCACAAGGACACGCGGTCCCCTCACAGGACTGTGCTAGCGGCGGGGCGCGAGGCTCTGGAGAGGCACATCCCCCCCACAGACCCGATTTTCGGGAAATTCTCCCCAAAATCGAGCCCGCCCCGGGCCTGGGGGCGGGGCCGCGGCGGAGCTGAGGGGAGCGGGGCGGGGCCTCGGTGGGGCGGGGCCTCTGGGAGCGGAGCGGGGCCTCTGGTGGGGCGGGGCCTCTGGGAGTGGGGCGGGGCCTCTGGGAGCGGGGCGGGGGCGCGGGCGGGGCGGGGCCGCGGCGGCGCGGGGCGTGGCCGGAAGCACGTGGCCGGACGGCGGGGCCAGGCCGCGGCCACTTCCTGCCCGGCGGGTCCCGGCGCGGCCGGCACGGAGCACCGGCCCTGGGGCAGTCCTGGCGCTGGGCACCGGCACAGGAGGTGGGTGACTGCGGGGGTCAGTCCGTCCGTCCCGTTACCGAGTGCTGATACCGAGCTCCGGTATCGGCAGTGAGTATCGTCTGTTACTACCGGCACCGGGCCCCACTCGGCTCCGGCACCTCCCAGCTCGACCGCGACCCCGCTCCCCAGGGCCCCGCTCCGCGTTCCCCCCGTCCCGTGGCGGCTGCTGCGCGTCTGGGATCGCGGACCGGCCCCGGTGTCCGTGATCCTGGCCCAGCGTCCGGCTGCGGCGTGTCCCGGTCCCCTCCGGGAAGAAGCCCGGTGCCCAGCGGCCCTGGAGCTCCGGAGGAGGGCTCCGCCTGCTCCCTCGGCCGGTGCTCGGAGCGTGCATCCCTGGCCCGGGATGTCCCTCCCCTTCCCCGGGATCGCCGTTCCTGACTTGTTCACACCCACCAGACCACCTCCAGCCCTGGGATCCCCGGAAAAGCGTGCTGCTCTTAAACATGACTCGGAAAGTGCCTGTGGGAAGGAAGAAATCTTCTTGAAAGCTTGAAGTAAACGTGAAATGTTTTGTTATTTTCCAGGGTTTGGGTGTGGAAGAGATCTTCCTGTGATCTCTTGAAGGTACAACTGCCATTACAAAAATGCTGGCTTCTTCTCCAAAGCTTTGCTTCTCTCTTTTGCACTTCACTTAAAGAAAGTCCAGAACAGTTGTGTCTCCTCAGAGAGCAAATGGGACAAGGGTGGGGTTTGCATCTCAGTATTTAGCCAAAAATCAAAAATCACTGTTAGATTGTCGGAAAGGAGGGCAGAGGCTGCTCCCAGCCTTCCTCCTGACACTTCTCCATGTTCCTCTGCAAGGGCTTCTCCACTGCAGACAGAGCAGCCACAGGTGACTACAGCTGCAGTCTCACCTGGGCAGCAGGTGAGGGCTGTGGCTTTCTCACCTGCTCTGAGAACCACGTGGTGCCCCTGTGAGGCACAGACAGGCTGCCATCACACTGGGCACAGAAACAAAGCAGGGGAAGAGAAATAGCCTCCTGACACTGGCCTCTGTTAATAAATACATCTTTGGGTAGATTTTTATAAATGCGTTTAGGTTTGACATTTTCACATCTTCCGAGATGTGATTTTCATTGCAGTCATGAGCTTCATAAAGACAATTCTGTCATGGAATCCAGGCAATGCAGGGTGCAAAAGCAGCTACAGCAGCTGAAGTGAAGGGTTTCATTCACGTGCTCTGGAACGTTTGAGTTCCTCGTCATTTCATTCTGTCTGTGCCCTTGCAGTGTCACAGCAGTCTGAAGCATCAGGCAGTTTATATATCACAAACTGAACTACATTTAAAGCTGGCTCCTACTGCCCTGGTGCCTGGCCCTGGGTTTAGATGGACAGCATGGTGATTTTCTTGGAAGAGCTTTCTTTCCCATTTTTTCTTTCCCATTTTGCTGTTGCTGTCTGGAACAGCCTGACAGCCTTGTGTTTTGCCTTCCAAGGCAGTAGAGAGCAGGTTTGCTTCTCTGTGCTCAGTGCAGCCAGTATCAGAACGGGTTAGATTTGACTGGAGATCAAGCAGAGAATGAGATAAACAAGGAAATATTTGGAATTGGCTGATGATGTGTGATGGGAACAGTACACTTGAAGAAGTAATCTCTGTGTTTTAGTCTTCGTTTAGAAGTTTTTAAGAAATCTCAGTATTTGGAGTTAAGCATGATGGGGTCTGGGAGCTGCTAGAAGCTGAGAAAGCAAGAGCAGCAGAAGTTCAGCAGTGGGGAGAAGGGGCTGACAGGGAGAGCTGAGGTAGGTGACCAGGAATGACATGGGCAGGACTGTCCTGAGCTTCTTATTCCAGAGTCCCTTCTGCAGCTGGGAGAGACCTGAGTGACCCAAAGCCGCTTGGGCATTTTGGATGAGGGGTTCTTATTAACTTCTTTGTTGTTTCTGGCTCGTTGGCCTTGCTCTTCCTGCCTGCTTCCAGTTGCCAGTGGCATCTCCCTTTTGACTGCCTGGTGCTGCTGCATCACATGTGGGATGTCAGATTCCCAGTGGTTCAGATGAAAAATGCTGGCAAGCAGCTTTTTTAAATTATCCCTGTCGTTGCCAGCTGCAGCCCTTTGCAGTTTTGCTTGGAAATGGCTAGAAGGAACTCGGATATCTGTGATTTTTTAAATTTTAACATTGGTAAATGTAACATTGGTAGCTCTTTACTTGAATTTGAAGGTAGTCCTTGCTTCAAGGCTACCTGAGAGGAAGTCAGGTGCTTTTGAGGAAGGTTGTGCTCTGGGTTCAGGTAGGAGTGCACCTCCTCTTGATAGAGGGATCAGGTTCTACTGTTGCCAGGGGTTTGAAGTTTGGGTTTGTTTTTTTTTTTAAGGTAATCGAGTTCCAAAGCAGGGTGTGTCAGTGTGCTGCTGCTCCCTGCAGCCTATCAGATCAGGACCAATATTTTTAATGTGTTCTTCACACTCAGATGTGAGGAGTGTCTTTATGATAGCCCAGCTGGAAGCAGGATGGGTGTGTGTGCCACTTAAAGGTGAGCACAGCTGAGAGAACAGGGACCTTGGGGTCTCTTCCAGACAAAACTCTTCAATGATTCCATGGAAAAGAATGTTTGCCCACAGTCTAAACTTTTCACTAGCAAAAGGAAATCTGAAATTGTGATCAGGCCTTTCTCTGCGTTACCTGTGTGAACTCGTGAGAGACTGCTTCAGCCTGGCAATCTGAAAAGCAGCAGGACTTTGCTGAGCTTCTCTTCCCTTTCCTTGAGGCTGTTTGTGCCTGCTTTGGTGTGGGATACCTGACATGGCTGTTTCTCTTTCCTGAAGAGGATTGGCATGGCTGTGGACTGAGTGTGAGAATGGTGAGCAGCAGATTGGTGCTCTGGTGGTCCTCATCTTGTGTTGTGGTGCTGATGTTGGATGTTTCTTGTTTCCAGTGGCCTGGTGTACATGCTGAAGAGCCTTTCATCATCCCAGCCACGTGGCGAGCTGAGAGGAGAAGCTGTTGTTTGACCTTCTGAGAAGGATGGATCAAAGTGAGTGGAGTGCTGGCTGCCTGTTTGTGCTGCTGCCTGCCCTGTGAAGTGTCCGTGAGTCAGCTCCCTGGACGCTTGGGAGACATCAGTGTTGTTCAGCTGCAAGTTTTTAGCAGTGGTCACTGCTGACTGTGTGTGACTTTATCCACTGGGTGACAGAAAGGGAGGAAGGAGTACTTGGATTCCAAACACAGCATCTTCAGGAGGATTTGTTACTTTCCTGCGTTGCTGAAGGCCTCCTCTCATACCTCATAACCACCAATATTAACCACGTTAATATTGTGAATGTGCTTGATTAGAGCTCTGTTCTCGTTGGGAACAGGCTCCAACCTGTTTGAAACAGGGACCTTGTGTGAAGTTGACAAAAATGTTGAAGTTTGGGGTCTTCATTTGGTCTGTTAAATGTTTTTCTAAGTACAGCCATTCATGAAGGTGCCATTGTACTTTTTCTTCCTTTCTACAGCATCTAAAGCTAGGTAGTGGTGTAAAGTAGGTTTATTGTGCCTACTACCACCTTGTTCTTCATATATTTATCATATTAGATGTTATGTTTACTTAGGAACCTGGGTAAGAGCGGAGAGCCTTCATAACAGGAACCTGGGGGCTCTTTAAATACCATCATCACACAAGTTTCATCTGTACAAATCTTGCAAATCTGAATTTTTGTGTGTTTGTGCAGCTAAGTGGATTTAAACACGCAACTCTTCTTAACCAGCCAAAAAGCTGAACTTCATCTGGCAGTTTTCATGTCTGGAAAAGCTGGATGTCTTCCATGAGAGTAACTGTAATGCAGAAATTCAGGCAGACTTTTAGAGGAAGTGTTCCATGTCCTGTACTCTGTGCTTCATGTGGTCATGAACACGAAGTAGGGTAGTCTCTCCAGGAGGCAGGGTGACTGTAGAACGTCCCTGTTTTACCAGTCTTGCAAAGGAGCAGGCTGTGAGGTCTGAACACGCTCATCCTTGGGCTGGGATCACAGGACAGCTGGGGTGGGAAGGAGCCCCTGGCAATTTCAGCCCTGAATTAAAGCAGAGTGACCTGAGCCACTTGCTCAGGGCTGCGCCTAGCTGAGGTTTGAAAGTCCTCAAGAATGGAGGCTCTTCAGCCTCTCTGGGCAAAAGAGTTACATTTAAGTGGAATTCTCTGTATTTTTTATTTTGTGCTCCTTTTCAAGTTCTTGCTGGGCAGTACCATGGTGGTTCTGTCTAGTTTCTTTCCCCTGCTCCTGGTGTTTGGGAGTGTGGATAAATCCTTCTGAGCTTTGCCTCCCTGTGCAGTACAGTGCCAGCTTGACCTTCTATGATACATGTTGTGATTCCTTAATGGTTTTAGTGGCTCTTTGTTGCATTTACTCCAGTCTGGAGGGCCCAAGGAGTACACAGCACTCTGGGTGTGGTCTGTGGGCAGCCAGGTGGCCTCCCTGGTGTGGGAGCTCAGTAAATGCCACTTCCAGAAGCCAAAGCAGTTGAGGTGGTGTAGTAGTTATGGTTAATGCAAATGCATCCTGAAGTAGCTTTTGCTGTTCCACATTTGAGCAAAGGTGGCTGTTAAATCTGCTCAGTTTGATGTTCTGAGTGCAGAGCTCTACGACTCACCTGAGCAATTTTAAGAAGACGAAAGGTATCACTTATTTTGGACATGTGACCATTCTGATATTACTGTTTGATTTTTTGTAGACTCAGACTCTTCACTTTCCAGAATATTTACTGGGTATGGTGATCTTGAGAATACTGAAGTGTACGAAGATGAACTTTATCCTGAGTCATCCAGTGAGCAGAGTGTTGATAGTGAGGTGGAGTTTCATCTCTACAGCCAGATCCACTACTCCCAGGACCTTGGAGAAATCAGCACACTGGAAATGGATGAAGAAGCTGATGTTGGAGAAGCCATGGGTGAAAGTTCAGGTCTAACTGAGAAACAGGATGAAGATGAGAAACTCACTGGTGCTGGTACTCAGCATTCAGATGAGCCAGAGATCATCATCCTGTCTGATACCCCAGATGAAGACAGTATATACAAAAGCAAGGCAAAGAAGCGAAGATATTCTTCAGCTCAAGGTAAAACACACATCCCCCCTGTATCATCCACACCAAATCACACCAGAGCTGCTGGATGTAATGCCCCATGTCCCCCTGAGTCTGGCGTGGGTGCCCCAAGGCAGAGAAGCAGCAGCAGTGGGAGGCCTGCCCCAGCCTTTTCTGCTGGACCTTCAGCCATCGAGGACGTGTTGGTGATAGACAGCAGCTCGGAGGAGGAGATCTCTGACAGCGATAACATCGAAAGCTGGATGCTCCTGGGAGCTGGTGCTGATGACTCGGATGGAGACATCATGTTGAACCTCGAGGGCTGTGCCACTACTATCAGGAAAGGTTAGTGCTTTTTACTGGCTTGTTTGTTCTTGAGTGGGGACAGCAATTTGTCTGTCACAACACTGATACCAGTACTTGAAAGATGAATGGAAAGCAGATGAGTTCATGACAATGGATGCAAAGCTGTGGTAAATTAAATGGTTTTTATTTGTACCATTTCAATACCTTTATTTCAGCAGCATGGCATGTGGAAGGAAAACAGATCTTTTCCTGGTAGAAATTTAGAATTAATATCAGAGTGATTTATACGGTGAACTTTGCAACCTTGCCAAGTATTTTGTGTTTCTGAGAGCTTATAAGAAGTGCCAGACCAGAGACCTTTCAGCTCAGGACAGCAATGAGCTGTAACAGGAAGGAGGCAAGGGGCAGAGAGGAGAGCTGAGCATTTCCCCTGCATGAGTTCAGCAGGTATCTGCTCCTCAGCACTCCTGACAGTTTGGGCTGTTCATCTGAAGTTGTCTGACTTTTCCCATGTGGATTCTGCACTGAATTCAGAGAGGTGTCTCCCCAGCTCCTAAAGTCTGACATTTTGGTGTTTTGATGAACATTCTTCCACATTGCAGCAAAGAAGGTCCATAATGGTGTGGTCAGTGCCACAGTTTGGCAGGTGTCTGTAAAAACCATTGTGTGTAACATGCACTGTGTCACCAACAACTCCAACCTCTGCTGCATGATTAGCCAGGATTTCTTCTTGCTCACTGGTTTCCTGGAGCACAAAGGCCATTACTGGGAACACCATGCCCTCTGCCAGATAGAGGGAAATCATGACCCAGACAAAGGCTGCAGAAAGAAATAAAGAAGAGAAGTTTATAAATAAAGTAAAATAGACCATACTTTGAAAGAAGTTAAGAAACTATGTAAGCCATAACTTTATTTGGTGCAGATATGAGGAGGTTTTGCATGACATGGAGCATTCTGTGACACTGATCTGCAGGCTGACTTCAGTGCAGTTTTTTGACAGTTATATAAACAGTATAAACAGTTCACATGCTGCTGTTCACACGCTGCTGCTGTGTTGTTTGAGAGGGAAGAGCTGAGGAATAGGCTTCGCCGCCTTCTTTGATGAAACACGTATTTCCAGACCGTAAATGTTTGATGACCTTCTGCTGGAATTGTGTGTGTTTTTGCACAGCCCAGCACAGCTTGTGTCTGCACAGACTTCACGTAAAGCACTCTGTTACTCCATCAGAGGCCCTAAAAAGCACGCCATGTTTGGAATTCATGTAGTTTTTTCCTCCTTGCAAATCCTATAAAAGTTTCTAAGAGTTGTGTTGCAGGTGTGCCAGTGCTGATTGAGGGGGCTGTTAAAAATCAAATGGATGTTTGGTACCAGGGGGCAGTTTTTGCTCAGTTACGCCACATTTTTGTGACAAACATTGTAATGTTTCTGGTTCACAGTGAATGTTGGCAATAAGCCAGCCACATACAGAGCGGACAACAGGGTTAGAATTTCCTTGCACTATGTAAATGGATCACACTGGTCAGAACTAAAATTGTTTTGTAGAGTGTAGGGATTAGGAACAGTTTTTGTGATGTTTTAGTGGGTAGTCAAAGGCAGTCATACGAGGTCATAAATACACCTGCTCTTCTGCTCTGGTTTTGTTCTTAACAGTAGGCCAGAACCTTCTCCAAACCCTTCCAGATTCTGGTGGGTGGAATTCAAGTAGCTCTAGTGCACAAAAGCTTGGTTCAGTGCTGCTTTTCTAACACACACCGTGATCCCCATGCAAAGACATAGGCTTAGAATAAATTGTGTTGTGTGTGTGTAATGAAAAAACAAAACAGCATCAAAATAGTTGTAGGGGAAGAGAAGCTATAGATGTTCCTAATGTGCAGTAATTGTAATTTATTTACTGAGCTTGTATCTCTCATCCTATAGACAATAATATGTCACTTGTCCCTGCCCATGGCAGGGGTTTGGAACAAGGTGATCTTTAAGGCCTCTTGGAACCAGAACCATTCTGGGATTTTGCGATTCTGTAAATAATTCTGCTGAAACATCAATATAAAATTTTTCAGTTCAAAGAAATGTATTTTAAAAATATGTATATTGGCAAATTACCATCTCAGAGACATTCTCTGCTCATTCATGTAAAATATTTTGGGACATGCACAGTTCTGTTTTCAGGGTTTCTGGAGAATGAGGTAGGTGTTTTGGTGGCAAAACTATACATGAATCACAATTTTAGAGGCTGTTGTATCAGTAGGGATGATCATAGTGTGTAAGAACTCAGGAAGCCTTGCCTTTGCCTTCTCCTCTGGAGCTGCCTGTGACTGTACCTCGGACTGACTTCCTGTGACAGTGCTGTGATGTTTAGTGTCCAGCTTGCTTCCCGTGGAAAAGGGAACTGAAATGTGAGCAATCCTGTGGTGGTGAGAGCAGCCGGTTGTGTCAGTCATTTGATGAGTCTGTCTTCACATCTGAGCCTCTCAGCAGAGATGCTGAACTTCCACTGCGTGAGAAGCAGCTCCTTAAGGGAAGGAAGTGAGCACATCTCACTCTGTTCATTCCTCTACACCTCACTTGCCTAACCTGCTCTTGTCTAACAGCATTATTATTTTAATATTCCCTGTGGAGTATTAAATAAATAAATAAATAATCCAGTCCTGGTACCTCTAGTGCTCAGAAAGTCTTTGCCCCCTGCAGCCCTCCAGCTCCAGTTTCCAGTATCTGTTGTGAAGAAAAAAGAAGTCATTTGGCTGTGGGGCATGAGTGGCAGATGAAGGTTTACCTTCTGGTCCTCACCTGTCATCCTATGGGTTTGTGGCTGGTCCACGAGTGCCAGTGCTCCCTGCACAGACGGGAGTCTTCCCTCCCCTCTGCCCTGCTTCCTTCCCGATGGTTTTAGGTGCCTTTCAGGTTTTGGTTTTGCTTGTCTAATACCACACTAAGCCACAGCATATTTTTGCTTGTATTTCTGTAAAGTTCCTCTTTTCCCTGCCAAAAGGCAGGCCCAGGTACCTGTGTGTTCCCACCTGTTGCTGGTGGTGTTTTCCTGGCGTGACTGTCAGAAAACTGCCTGATGATGATGCTGCTGGTTGCTGTGCTAACAGGGTCCTACTTTCTTCACAGGGTGTTTCAAAAATGGGTAAATCAGCAAATCTAGGTCTGTGGTGTAGTCTACACTCCTTTTTTTTTTTTAAGTTTAGGAGTCCATAATAAAGTGTGCAAAAGGAACCGTTACAGACTGTGCCATGCACAAATGCAGAAAATTCATTTTCAGTGTCAGAGTTTCCATGTCTTTGGAGGAGTGTTCTCCCCTCCCACCCTTTTCTCCGCTTTCCAGTAAGAGTTTATATGATAAGAACGTTAATCTCCTGTAGTTGGAAGTCTTTCATCCATTTCTTCATTAAAACCTTCCTTTTAACATATTTCTTCTTCCATGAATAGCTGCAATCCTAATCTTTTTTGGGAAAGACAGCTTTCAGAGTTGCAGCATTGATGTCCGGCCACTAAGGGGTACAAAAAGCAATTTATCTTCTCTCTGTTATATCCTTTGCCTGCCTGGCCCCTTTCTCAGAGACTGGGTGTGAATATGATTGCATTCTGGGCTTGGCAAGTTTGTGGTGTGTGGCTGCTTCTGACTCCAAAGAACACTTGTAAAATGAAAAGGAGAAAAAAAAAAAAGCATGTTTGAATATTTAGTGAATGAAAACACAACAATATGTCTGAAATGGAAAGGAAAATTAATTTGAAACCATTTAATTTTTGCCTCTTCTCTAAGAAATAATGAAGGAGTCTTCTATTTAGTGGCAGCAACTGCAGCTTACAGAGTCAGAATGGAAATAGCTGTCTCCGATAAATTTGACTTAATTTTTATGTCTGTCAAAAAGGAAATGTCCTTTGTGAACTATCAGTGTTTGAAATGGCTTTCTCTAGACATTGATCTTAAATTTATTTTAACTATAGAACAATGAAAAACCTACTACAAAATCTGACCACACCTGTATTTCTTTTATCTGTGTTCTATTATTCAAATTCCTTAGTTTGTTTCTAAATGGTGAAAAGGTGTAAGCTTGCAACAAAATACAATGAGTTGTGCTTTGCTTCTTTTCTGTGACTTTGGAATGTGACCTTTGCATCATACAGTATGTTTTAGTTCTGGAGTCTTGTGATTTGTAGCAACAACTTGTTTTTTCCTACAAAAATGACTACCATAAGTTTTTTATTTTTCTAGGCCAGGTAAGTAAAGAGTCCCATTCCCTCTGCTTATTGGATACCCAAGTTGTGGAATCACTGGGTTCAATCTCAGATAAAGTAGCTTTCAGAAGTAAAAAGATTTCCAGGTGGAAATTTTTGCAACATTCAAAACATTTTTGTTGTTAATACCTAGACATATTACCATTAACATGTAGAGGTGTGTGCTGCATTTCTTAAAAGCAGCAGGACTCGCTGGTGTGATCCATGTGCCAGCCTCAGTGTCACCCAAACCCCAAGGCAGGGATTTATGCCCTAGTACTGTCAGGGTCTCTGGTGAGGACCCAGCAGTGTGAAAGTCCTTGTTCCCCTAGACCAAACGCAGCCAAAGAAGGAGCCTGGAATGCTTCTGACTGTGCTTTCAAGGTTGTTTATTTCTCCTTATCTAAACATTCTTTCTCTGATCTGCTGAGCTCTCCCTAGCAAGTCCACCATGGCAGTCTGCCCTGAGCCCTGGGCAGCTCCCACCTTATATACTCAAAACTGCGTGTCTATGTTTTCAATTTCTTCACCAATTCCCATCATGTATGTTAGACCGTGAATATCTACCTTAAACCAATAGAAAAGTGTCACCATCACACCAAGACATGGAGGACAAGACGAAGGAGAAGAAGGTCAGGACACGCCCAAATTTCTCCATCTTGTACCCCCTTGAACCCCATTCTAAAAATCCTAAAATTCTACTTTTCCATCCTGTGTTAGTTCAAATACCACACTACTCAGAAAACCCTTGTGGCTTGTAACTCCTCATACAAAAGTGACAGTTTTTTCCACAGGTGTTTTTGATTTCATGCCAGGGTCT